CCCTCAAAGAAAAGAAAGAAGAAAAGAAAGAAAAACACTAAAATCCTGGGTTTATTTATCCCAGCTCTTGGGCTATTTTGATGTATGTAATGGGCCTAGCGTGGAGCTAAAGATGCTCCCGGGTCAATTCTGAGTTAGAGCAAGCTCTTGTGACACAGTCGAACTGTCACACAAGGTTTTCTTGGCTGTAATCACCATAGAATCAGTAGGCGGTCTTTCTCCGTCAGCTCTCTGGCAGGTTCACAATGCTGTCCTCTAGGTTAGCAATCACCAAGTGCTTAAGTGTTGGCACCACCAGGGCTCCTTTATCATAAAGTTGACACTCAAAAAATGTTCCTATTAAGGAAAAAAAGATTAATTACAAGGAAGGGGGGAGAGGTAATTAATTGTTGTATAAAATAGTTTTAAAAATCCAAGCATTAGCATTTGCAAATGTCTCTTCCCCTTGCACTGTTAATTTCTCTTCATGGAGTACGTCCTGTGGTCAAATATGAATTGCTTCATCTCAAATCTGTCCCACTTTGGCTTTCAATTTTTAGTTTTCAGCAAAGTTACTTAATTTCAATTGTATATCTGTGTTTTTTTTATCCCATGCAGCAATGTAGATAACAATATAACAGTCTTGCTGAAGGTGCATGGCATGGTGATTTGATAATGGAATGCTGTCTATCATTGCAGGACGAGTCTGCTCCAGCTGACAAACAGTGTAAGCCAGAGGCAGCCCAGGCCACTTATGCAACATCAGCTGTTTCAGGCTCACAGGAGGTGTTGTACATCAATGGAAATGGGACCTACAGTTACCATAGTTACAGAGGGCTAGGAGGGGGACTGCTAAACCTGAATGACGCTGCAAGTAGTGGTGAGTCTTTATCTGGATTCTGTGTTTGTGCCCATTGGGGGTGGGCAATTGTCTACACCTGAAAGAGGGAAATGAATTGATTGTTATAAGCAAATGTCAGTGCCGGTCTGCTAAAAACAAGACACTTCAGTACATAATGATTCTCTCCCTACGTGAAGATCTCTTTTTCATTTGTTTGAAAGTAGAAGCATTATTCTGCAACTGAAGGGCTGCTATTTCAATGCCCAAAGAGGTCTCAACTAGAGGCATACATTTAAAATAAAATTTTTTAATTCCAATCGTGACACTGGCTTCCTGTAAGTGGGTTTTGCCCCATGTGACAAAATCAGATGAGCTCAGAGGGCTTTGCAGGCTGTAATTTGTACAGAGCTAGATCGTCATATCTTTCTGCCACAGAGGTGCTGGCAAGTTCAAACCACCAATATTTTGCTTAACAGCCAAGCACCACACTGTTGTGTCATCAGACACACACACGCACACCAGACACACAGTGGGTAAACAGAAAGTCTTGCAACTAGGGCTCCACCTTATACATGCTTAGGTTTCTTTGAAATTAAAGCACTTACAAACATATGTATGCTTACATATATACATACATAATTTAGAGAGATACAGAGATGAAGAGATAGAGCTTCATATGTAATTAATTATGCAGTGATATCCAGGAAGTGAAAAATACTATGCTACCACTTATGAGAGAAGCATTTATATAAATATAAGCTTAATGATGTGCTGTTTTGTGTTTTTTATGTGTGCACAGAGGGATAGTGGACAAAGAGAACAAAGTAGAGAAACAAGGGATAAGAGTTTGAATTCTTTGAGTGTACTTTGCCATTGTATTTAATTTGGCAAATTTAACTTTGGAATAGTGTACATACTTCCATAGCTATAAAACAAACAGTTTAAAAATCCTCCTAAACTTTGAAAACAAAGTGATACAAATGAGCCTTAATTGTTTAATGAATTTGTATCATAATAACACAAGAGAGGAATTTTCCCACATGTTTATAATGGCTTCTTGGGGGTACAGTAGGTGAGTTTATGAGGAAATGGGGAGCTAATTAAAAGAAGTACAAGAAAGAAGAAAATGTTCTAAAATTGATTGTGGTGGTGATTATAAAACTCTTCCTGGTATGATTGAACTGATGAATTGTCTGACAGATGGATTATGTCCCAGTAAACACTGTTTATTTTAAAAGTAATAATTAGACTCCACAAACATGCAAACTTAAAAAAAAGAATCTTGAACTATTTTTGTAATCATATTGTTATTTTAAGATCATAGTTCTGTGTACATAATTTTAATTATGTAGGTGTCAATAAGAACTGGAATCAATAGGGGCAAAACATAAAGATATAAAAATCAATGTTTGAATCAATAGTGCCAGTGGGAATGCATAATGTGTTTTTTGTTAAAAAAATTGTCCTTTCCATTTAAAGACCATGTAACAGAGATCAATTTTTATTAAAAAGTGTGAAACAGAGTTGGTGGGCATTTAATTTCTTATACTGTGGAGAAAATAAAGAGTGTGAGTGTCAAATAATGATGAAACTCAACCCCAGTGTCTTCTAGTCAGTGCTGAATGAATATATACTCTAGGAAACCAATTGCCTTTAAAGTGTATGTGCCCAAGTGCATTACTCCACTGCCTAAAAGCCGTCTTCCGGCCATCGTTGTTCTTAGAGAAATGACACCATCTAGCCCTTCTTGCCCCAAATTGCACCCTCCTGGGGTTTTCTGTGATTTGTTTTCCTTCCTAATTTGCTTCTTGTCCTTTAAATCTAGAACCTCAAGTCTTGATCAGATTAGTTGTGCACTTTCATAGCATAGCATCCTGAGCTACTTGTCTTTTGAATTCTTCATGCAGTTTAAAATTACATAGCAAGAGGATGGCAGAGAAAGATGACATAAAGAGCAATAGCTAAATCCAACAATGTAGAGACCGTATATTTTGTCTAACAATACTTCCCTAGCCACCAAAGCATATATTAAAATTTCAAACTCAATGTCATTGAGTCAATGCCAACTCATTGAAACCCCAAATATCTCTGTGTGTATAATAAAGAAATGAAAAGGCACTAAGAGACAGTGATAAGATTCCGTGTAGATTGTAGGAGGAAAAGAGGGAAGTTGATTCTAAGGAAAGACTCGATCTAAATTGTGAAAGGCAGGAGGAAGATGCTAGGTAAATCTGGCAGAAAGATGTAGTAGAGAAGAGTTTGGCATTTAAGACAAGTGTAGCTAGAGATCAGTTGCATGATGAGAGAAGTGGTCTCAGGGGGTGTTGCAGGGTAGGGAGAGATAGGGCATGACAGCCTTGCCAATGCGTGTGCAATTCACATAGAACATTGCCTGGTGCCCATTTATTTTCTGTTTCTAGTAGTAAAACAGCACTTTATTGTGATTCATACATTTGTTATAGTTTGACTGTGCTTGATAGCTTCCCTGAGCCATGCTAAGCACACAGGTGCAAAGACCCAAGGTTAGCATGTCAAAATAGTCCCTTGCGTGATGATATTGGCTAAGTTTTATGTTACCCACAAATATGGATTAAGAAACCAGTGTGTGTGATCATGAGGAGTTGATGGGATCAGGTATCATGTATCAGAAGAACCAGAACAAAAAATCACATTGATGTGAACAAGGGGGGAGAGGCGGGGGGATGGAGTAGAGGCCTAAAGCCCATCTGTAGTCAATTGGACATCCCCTGGCAGAACAGTCACAAGGAAGGGACCAGTCAGCCAGGGTGCAGTGCAGCACCAACAAGACATACAACATTCCTCTAGTTCTTTAATGCTCCCCCACCACCATTACCATGACCCCAGTTCTACCTTACAATTCTGGCTAGACCAGAGCATATACACCGGTACAGATAAGAGCTCTCCACTCAGGGCATCCAAGACAGATAAACCCCTCAAGAACAGTGATGGAAGTAGCAATACCATGAGGGTAGGGGAAAGGTGGGGGAGAAAGAGGGAACTGAACACAATGATTGACATATAACCACCCCCGCCTCCCCCCACCCAAAGGGGGATGAGCAACAGAAACATGGATGAAGGGAGACGGCGATCGGTGTAAGATACGAAAATATCTCAGGTACTCCCTCAATGCAAGAATACTTTCTTCTAGTAAATTGGCGTTCTATGATGCTCACCTTCCCGGCACAACCACTGAAGACAAAGCGGGTGCATAAGCAAATGTGGTGAAGAAAGCTGATGGTGCCCGGCTATCAAAAAGTATAG